GCTTGAATTTCCGTATTCTCGGCTAATGAGTGTTACAATAATTAATTTAATTTTAGTCACTGTCCTAGCTTGTTGTAGATTTCTTGTTGCTATCGGCCACGGTACAATGGTCACCAGCTTGTGCAAAAAAAGTGGTTACTGATAGCAGAGAGTTAGTTTAAAACCACTCATAATAAGGTTTTTTTTTTTTTTTGAGAAAGAGGGGGGGGGGGGGTTTACTGGAAGAAGTGGGTGAGTGGGTAACACTAATGAAAGAGATAATTTATTGGCTGGCCAATAGCCAAGTCAAATGATTGAATTTATCCTGAGTGGCACTTGTGTACGAGGCTAAGCATCATATACTTTTGCTTCAAAGCAGGTTGTTTTTTAGCTGACCATTAATCGTCATTAAAAACACTTTAGGAGGAAGATATGTTATGTGGATAGCTGAGGAAGCTTGCGTAAATGATTGCTGAGTCTAAGTGCATTTTTATCAATAGTTTACTGTATTTATTCATTCTGAGCCAGATGAATGGAGATGCTTGTTTAGTTGTTCAGTGCCACTGAGTCTTTAGTTTTCTTTGTTATTTGTGTGTACTGTATGGTATTCTGTGAGGTTGTGCTGAGTAGACCAGGTTATTGGGCGGGTTGGGTCTGATCCATGCGGGTCTGTAGCAGGTTAGGTCATATGTGTTAGGCTGAAGCGGGTCACAATCAGTTGTGGGTTGATGTTGGGCAAGCCAATAAGCAAGCAAAGAAAAAGGCAAAAGAAGTCTAGAAGAGAGAAAAATAAGCACATGTGAATATTAAAATATACGTATAATCTTTTTTATTGCAATTGTTTTCTTTTACAAAATTGTGGGGCAATAAAGAAGCCACAGTTGACCCTGACCACGAGGCCCAATCCAATAAAAGCCCTATTAACTTGAACCTAAACATATACCCATTTGTTTACCCTGTCGAATGACCTGGTCTAGTGCTGAGATGTTTCATAATCAGTAATTTTCTGTTGTGCAGGTTTCTCTATTATTTGCAGAATGGTACCGGTTATCTGAACTTCCTTCTGGAACTGATACTCCATGCATAAGATTTGTTATACAGCTACATCAAAATGGTTTACTTAGAGGAGATGACATAACAGAGCGCTTCTTCCGGGTTCTTTTGGTGATTGTTTTCCCAATCTTGATTGTATTTTTTTATATTTTAGTGAGATTCAATCCCATATCTATAATTGATCTTTTGTTCCAGGAAATATCTGTGTCACATTTTGGTGAGGTGATGCAGTCATCTCAACAAGTGCAGTCTTCTTTTCTGGCAATTGATATATATGCTAAATTAGTATATTCAATCTTAAAGGTAATTTGATTTTAATCTCCATTCTTTTCTTATTGTATAGCATTGATTCTAACTTAAGATTTTTCTATATTTGTAGCATTGCCCGGTGGATCAGGGATCAAGCAAACTCTTTCTCTTACCAAAGGTTGGATTCTAACTTTTAAGTTTTAGGTTTGCTGTTATCTTGTATTTCTTCACCCTAATTTTTGATTGTTATCTAGTTATGAATTGTTATATTGCATCATTTTTCTCTGTAGATTTTAGCTGTAACTGTAAGATCAATTCAAAAAGATGCTGATGAAAAGAAAGAAGACTTTAATCCAAGGCCATATTATAGGCTCTTTATTAATTGGCTGTTAGACTTTGGCTCGTTAGACCCTGTGCACGATGGTATTAATTTCCAGGTATAACGTGGTTACCATTGCATTCTTCCCCCCCCCCCCCTCCCCCCTCCTCCTAAACTAGATGTAATTGGATGGATTTTGTAATAATAATATTATTATTATTTATTTATCTTTTGTAGTTACTAATAGTGGTTACTTTACCCAGGTTTTGTCAGCTTTTGCGAATGCATTCCATGCTTTGCAGCCCCTTAAAGTACCTGCTTTCAGGTTAGAAAAAGCTTAACTTTTGGTTATTAGGAAACCTTGTTTGTCTTTTTTCCCTTTTTTTTATTACTATAGTATTTGATCGTTTGAGAATTAGATATATAAGATTACTTAAATGCGAAATCTTTTCATTCTTGCTGCCTTTATGGTAATCTATGACATCATTGTGTTCATTTTATTTCAATTTATTTCAGTACTAAGCTATGCTAAGTCTTTCCTTGCACATGATGATTGGATAATGATTGTGATGAAGATTTAGCATAGCTTAGTACTGAATGTGGTTGGGTGTTGACTCCCATGAAAATTTGGACCTTTTTTTTTGTAATATTTTCTTTACCCTTTGGACCAATACATATTTCTATATGCAAGTCATCTAGGATTTTTTTTTGTGGTTGACTATTGTAGTTCTGACTACTTATACATCATATTTTGCTGTCTCACACTTTCATAAATTTCTTCAGCTTTGCTTGGCTAGAACTAGTTAGTCACAGAACTTTCATGCCTAAGTTGCTTGCCGGCAACTCTCAGAAGGGGTGGCCCTTTCTTCATCGCTTGTTGGTTGACTTATTTCAGTTCATGGAGCCTTTCTTGAGGAATGCAGAAATGGGAGAATTGGTTTGCTTCTTTTAGATCCCTTAATAGTTCTTTTTTATTTTTTCTTATCAGCATCAATTAAATTAAATTAAAATTCTGTGTTTTGTTTGAAGATACGCTTTCTGTACCAAGGAACTCTGAGAGTGCTGTTGGTGCTGCTGCATGATTTTCCAGAATTCTTGTGCGACTTTCATTTTAGTTTTTGTGATGTCATACCTCCCAGCTGCATACAGATGCGAAATATAATCCTCAGTGCTTTTCCTCGCAACATGAGACTTCCGGATCCTTCAACTCCAAATTTGAAGGTTTGTCTTCCACCACTTCTATTTTTTCTTGAACAATAATGTGTTACAACTTCTAAAAATCTTTTTTTTAGATTGATTTGCTAGATGAGATGAGCCTAGCACCTCGTATATTGTCCGAAGTTGATGCAGCTTTGAAGGCAAAGCAGATGAAAGCTGACGTTGATGAGTTTCTCAGGGTAATTTTTTTTTTCTTTCATTAAATTTTTTTTCTGATGTGTAGTAGTCTAATTTTTGTTCTATTTCTTTTTTCATTGCAGACAAGGCAACAATCATCCCCATTTCTGAGTGATCTGAAGCAGAGATTACTACTTCCACCTAGTGAGGCTTCCCATGCTGGGACCTGTTACAATGTACCTCTGATCAATTCACTTGTGTTGTATGTTGGAATGCAGGTAAATATTGTATGCTATATTTATATTATAGTTATGGTATAAATGATAGGTAATGCCGGGATCTGTTGCAACTTACCTTTAAAATTTTGCGATATTTTTGTAGTTAATCTCACATTCTGGCAAGTATGCAAATTCTTTTTTGTTCCTAGTTCTGTGTGCTTTTCATTTGATAAATTAGGAGTTTTTTTGACACATTATTAAATGTTAAAGAGATGCTATTACTTTGGATATAGAGGGGCCTGTTTGATCCAGCTAAGTTGTTTTTAAAAAATCTTCAATGTTACAAGTCGCAAGTTTCTAATTTTATGACTGAAAGACTCCAGAGTCTATTTAACTGAAACCAACAAATTGGTAGTTTTCTTTTGGTGTGAGACCTCAACAATTTGGAAGTTGATGTCCTGGGAATTATTCTAGATATGCATCATTAGAAGACTATTTTAAAACAGTGTAATGTGTACTGTCAAGAATCTCTTTCAAGTCTTTGAATGTAGTTTGCATGCTACTTGTCATTGTAGAATTCTGTTTATGGTAGGATCAATGCCCTCTGTGACGTAATTATTGTTATATGTAGTGGTGTTACTTAAGGTTACCTCTGATTTTGCTACAGGCAATTCAGCTGCTTCAGGCTCGGAACCGGTCACAACCTCAGTCAGTCAGCAGTGATCCATTGGCAGCTAAAGCAGCATTGGATATATTCCAAACTTTAATAAGGGATTTGGATACTGAAGGCCGCTATCTATTTCTAAATGCAATTGCTAATCAGTTGCGTTATCCAAATACTCACACACATTATTTCTCCGTCATCCTTCTCTACTTATTTTCTGATGCGCACCAGGTATTATTTTAACCCACCTTTAAAATGCTGCTCTGTAATTGATCTATTTTGTATTTGTTTGGTACCCCATATTATTTATTAAGAGAACCGAGAAGAATTGAGTTGTTTTTTGCCAGTAAATTTGAAAAGTCCTAAGCCTAAGTTGGACCCATATCCAATGTACTTTTGGATGTCAAAACAATATGTTCTAATGTTATGCTATTTGAATTGTCCTACACTTATTTGCAAAATAACTGATAAAATTAGCTCCCTGTTTGTTTCCTGATGATGGCACATGTACCACTTTCTGCAGGAGATCATTCAGGAACAAATTACCAGAGTACTATTAGAAAGGCTAATTGTTAACAGGCCACATCCGTGGGGACTATTGATTACATTTATTGAACTAATCAAGGTGAATACAGAGTTTTACTTTTTAGTATGAATATGCCATGAATGTGATATTTACTTGGCTAATTAATATGTGTTTTGCTTCGTATACAGAATCCTGATTACAATTTCTGGAACCGTACCTTCACTCGGTGTGCACCTGAAATTGAAAATTTGTTCGAGACTGTTTCGACCTCATGTGGGGGGCCAAAGCCTGGTAGTGAAAGCATGGTTGGCTCAGGAGGATTATCAGATAGCGCTCATTGAAGTAATCTTTCTTTGTAAATGTGTAGAAGTAGATTAGTCTTCTAACATTGCTAGAAGACTGTAAATGTACCAATACTGTGAATATGCATATTCTAAATACATTCAAATACCAATGTTATTAATAACATTTTTCTTATGCTAGTTTAGGCAGGCTTAATCCTTTCTGTACACAAGTCTTTTGCTTCAATTGTCACTTACAAATGATTTGTTTCTACATTGACATTGGAATTCTAAAAATGAAAAGCTAAATTTCCAGAAGGAAATTATTGTGCTAATTTTGTTGTTTTCCTGAAGCAAATCCTTCAGAATTCGGGTGGTAAAGCCTTGTTAATGTCAATTCACTTGTGAACAATGTTTGGCCATTTCCTTCAACGCCATCCTCCTTGCTTTCGCTTTTTTCTGCTGAGCTTCTAGCTGTGTCTCTGCAAGTTTTTTCTGCACCTTCTGCACTGCTTCTATCCGTTTCTGCTCCAGCTTCCTCTGTTTAACCCCAAAAACACACCCATTAGCAGTTGTATATTTGAATGTGTCATATAGACAGAAAAAACCTGTTGTTATACTGAGTTTAAGAAACCTTTTTTGACACAAATGAAGCTTAGCATTTTATTAAGTAATCAAATTTGCAAGATCATTACACATAGCCTCTTGAATTCAAGAGGATACTCTTCTAGCCAAATACAACATTCACTAAACTTGCTGCTAATATTTGCTAAGCTATGGGCTAACTCTAATCAACCAAGAGTGAAAAAAAATAATAAAATTCTTATTTTAAGTTGTATGTAACGTTTCAGTTTCTAATATAATTGGCTAAAATTCTGATTATGGTTTAATTGAGATCTGGTTCAAGGTTATACCTGAAGCTTTTCTAGCTGTAACTCTGCTTTCTTCCTACGATTCGACTCCCACTCATCAATGGCTTCTTCCTTCTTTGTCAACCTGCACAATCATTACATACTTTCAGTGTTCATACTGCATACCATACAAAAGCAAACAGAAGAAAGAGAGTGACAGACTGACTTTCTGAGAAGATAAGTATATGAAGCCTTCCTCATTGCATCAATTTCAGCCTTCTGCTTGTGGCTTCGCGTTTCATCCAAGAAATCCTGGTAGGACTTAGGCCGGTAGCTCTGCCTACGCTCCCCTCGTACCTCATCAACCACCGGTATCGCCTCTCCGAATTCCTTAGGGTTTGCAGAACCAGTTCCCCTCTTGTGTAGATAACTAGAACACTCTTCAGAAACAGTGGGAGGAACAGAGAATATTACTTGACAATTATCATAATTAACACCAACTGAAGATTCATAGTCAAATGAGTTATCAGCTTCATTTCCTTCAACAAATCCAATGTTTTTTACTGATTCAAATTGCTTCTTCAGATTTGTGAAACTGTTGGAACTTTTCATGTCCTAAATACACAATTTAATACCATCATTTTTTATTTTAATAATCAGACATTAACGAATTAAAACATAATTACAGAAACAATCGAAAACTCAAGAACCCAGATGAAGAACATACTAATTTCCTTTAAAATAAACATATAATTCGATTGTTTGTATATTAATTCTTGAGAACACTGAACTAAAATCAAACTAAAAGAAAAACCCAGACGAAAAATTTCACAAAAAACCAACTATCATCATTTTAATTTGTGCTTTCTACGGATTTTCAATAGGAAAAAAGAAATAAGTAAAATAATTATAAAAACCCCACATAAATTGATGATAATATATCATTTAATGAATAAAAAGCAACATCAAATAAAAAACAAAAAACCCAGAGCACAGAAGTTATTAGATATATTCAGAATATTATGAAAATCGGTGAATTCTACAAATTTACAAACGAAAAATAGAGTAAAAGACAGTAAGGACCTGAAATCTTGAAGGAGAGTAAAAGACAGTAGAAGGACGACAAGAATCGCAAGGAATTGTTGGTGAATCGGCATTAAAGGAGGAAGGAGAAGGAGGGAGTTCCGCCATTAAAGAAGCCATACTCCAAGCTTTGTTGCTTAAACTTGAAGATTTGTTCATCATTTTGAGAGCTGAAATATCATCTCTATCAACTTGGGATTGATGGGTATTTCTGGGTTGATGATTAATCTTGTTCTTGGATGCAGAAATTAGTTCCTCTGTTTTAGGTTTCAACTTCATCTTCTTATTTTCCATGGATTTCTGAGAATTCCAGAGTTTTTTTTTTCTTGAAACAGAGTTTTTGTGTGTTTTATTTATTGAAGCTAATTCAAGTGATGTGTAAAAGAATTCTTCGCGGGAATTTATACACTTTTTTTGAGAAGAGAAAAGGAGTTTTTTCATTTTTTGTTTTAAAGAAGAAGGTTCTAACACTGTAATTAAAAAAAATAAAATTGTATTCTTAAGTAAATTTTGGTACGGAGTCTTAGAAAAACTATAGTAAAATTGGTGTTTATTTAAATATACAAGGAATTATAACGCATCATTCATTTAGCAAATTGTCATTTTCTTTTACATTTATACATGATTTAGTAAGAGAAAATACAATTTTACTCCTTGATAAATAAATTTATTAATTAACAAAAATTTAAATAAATCAACAATTTTTGATGTCAAGTATTACAGAGCTGTCAATTCGGGTAAACGGGTCGGGTTTGGGTCGGGTAAGAATGGGTCGGGTCAACTCAAGTAGGGTCAATTCAGATTAATTCCAAAACCTATGCGAGTCGTATTTTGGGTTAGTTCATGCTTGAGTCGGGTCACGTCGGATCATAATTCTTATCGGGATTGGGTCGGGTTTAGATCGAGTTAATAACAGGTCGGGTTTAATTCAGGTTTTTACACGTTAAAACGGGTTAGGGTAATTCTCGGGTTCGAGTCGGGTTCGGTTCGGTTCAAGTCAATAATTTGCGAGTTAAAATCAGGTCAGGTCATTCTCGGGATTGAGTCGAGTTCGGTTTAAGTCAATAATTTGCAGATTATAATCAGGTCGGGTCATTTTCAAGTCGGGTCATTCTCGGGTTCAAGTCAGGTTCGGTTCAAGTCAATAATTTGCGGGTTATAGTCAGGTTGGGTCATTTCCAAGTCGGATCATTCTCATATTCAAGTCGGGTTATGTTCAAGTGAATAATTGAAGGTTACAATCAATTCCGGTCATTTCCAAGTCCGGTCATATGTGAGTTCAACTAACTATAAATAAATAATGATCATTTTTATCAAGCTAATTATTTCCTTTGACTATAATATATATATGGCAATATACTAGGGAAGTATTGTTTATAATTTAGGAAGATAATTATCTTCTTTAACCATACAACAAATATGTACTATATTTAAATATTAAATTTGAGGATGATGCTCCTTTCTTTTGTTGGCCTGGACCGACTTGGTCTCTTAAGACAAAAAACTTTGATCAACAATAATAAGGTAGTCTAAATTGCATTTAAGGTTATTTGAAATCGGGTCAGGAGCAATTTGGGTTGAATTTAGGTCGAGTCAATAACAAGTCGTGTTAATTTCGAGTTGAGTTAGTAACAGATCAGGTTGAATTTTTGGGTTGGGTAAGTAATAGGTATGGTAAAATTCGAGTCGAGTCAATAACAAGTAAGGTTGAATTTGGGTCAGGGCAATAACAAGTCGGGTAGTTTTCGGATCAGGTTTGTAAAGTTGGGTTAAATTCGGGTCGGGTTAGGAACAAGTCAGGTTGAATTCATGTCAGGTTAGTGAAAAGTCGGGTTGAATTCGGGTTTTGACGGGTTAAAACTGATGTGTCTATTTTATATAGTATTTTACCCCCGCCCCTTGGTCATAATTAGTAGTGTTTTTGGCTCTTTAGAGCCACTTTTATTACTAATTGGTGTTTTCTAGTGTTTTCGTAGATTTGGTTGACTTTTGCAGGGATTTATGCTTTTGGAGTATTTTCCCGGGATATTTTAGAGCAACTACGGAAGCTAGAAGGACGCGACCACTTTTGGAGCCCAGGATCGGTGAGAGTCGGTGATTAAGGGCTCGGTAATTGGGATCCCGATGCGTTTGGACCAAGTATTCGAGACCCGAGAGGAAACCTGATTGGGCCGAGAAATCTAGCCCAATCGAAGTCCAAGCATCAAGAGGAGCAAAGACCCGATCGGGCAACCTCTAGCCCGATCGGGCGCGGCAAACCATAGGGCTGCATGCTAAGGCATGCCCGATCGTGCGAGCATCTAGCACGATTAGGCGATGCTGCTTGGGAAGAACGCGAAGAAAAAGGTGTGCCCGATCGGGAGGCTCTTCGCCCGATCGGGCGCGCGTTTCTGGAAGACCTGGTTAAGTTAGTTTTAATTCTTGTTTTAGGAAACGTTTAAATACGATTTTGTACGGAATTATTAGATCACCTTCTTTCTTAGACTTTCTCTCTCTACTTAGTATTTTTCTCTCTCTACTTAGTATTTTTCTCTCTCTTAAATTCTCTCTAAACTTTTGTTCTTAATTCTTCCTTTAATTCCAGATTTATTTTTGGTAACAATTTCTTCCCCTTTAATTTCAATTATTTTTATTTGCTTCCTTGATTATGCTTTTATTTATTTATTTGATTAGTTAAGTCATGATGATTTGTGAGTAGTTTAATTTCTAGGGTTTATGGGGATCTAATAAATAATATGAATGGGTAATTTATTGTTGTTAATTATCAATGCTAGATTAATTTCCTATTGATTGATTTAATGCTCTATGACTAGATTTGGCCTATCTTTTATGCATGAGTTTGACAACATTGATTCGAGATTCAACAGATTAGAATTAATGTTTAGGCCTAGTTTCAATAGGCAGATTAATTTATAAATGGTTAAGTCGAGATTCGAGAGATGAGATTTAATACCGGTAAATTAATTGTGTGATTGTAATACGTAGCGAAAGCCCTTACAATCTGGTTAATTGATGCATTGATGATTGACTATTATTGATTATTGGTAATGCATGATAATTTCTTATTGAATTGTTTTAATGTTTTACAATTGCGGCTTGTAAAAGTGTAGCAATATTAAATCGATGAATCGAGCAGATGTTAATTTGATATTAAAGGCTATTTTCAATAAGAACTTAGATCTAGTAAATTGCGAAAGCCTGTTAGATCTATGGTGATTAATAAATTGCGAGAGCCTGTTAATCGTGTTATTTATGCAATGTTAATGATTGATTACTATGTTTTACCCTAGAGTATTAAATTGGTTGTTGTAAATCGGTAAATCGGTGCAAGTTATAAACTAGTAAATTAGCAGTTTAAAAGCAAATTGAATGGCTTCACACAACCAATTGGACTCCCGGAGGGTATTAGGGACCATGGTAAACATTTCAGCAATTTTTATTTACGGGCGAAAAAAATCAAAAAATTCCAAAATTGAACACTAATATCCACGCTTTTGGAGAAATTTTAGAGGTTTCAGGGCCCAGTGTCGAAAAGTCTTGAAATTCTATGGGATACATCTCGGGGTCATATAATTCCGTTTGGAACCATATATGATCATCATATAATGTCATAAATGTCCGTGGTACGCTTGAATTAATGAAATCAGTGTAAGTTGTAAATCGATAAATTTGTCGTTTAAAGGCAAATTGGATGGTTCCACCCATCTAATTGGACTCATAGAGGGTATTTGGGACCACGGTATACATTTCGGCAATTTTTATATTCGAGCGAAAAAAAGTAAAAAAAAAATCCAAAATTGAAGGCTAATATCGACACTTTTTAAGAAATTTCGGATGTTTTGGGGCCCGATGTCGAACAGCATTGAGAATTTAGGGGTTACATCTAGGGGAATATAACGCCGTTTGGATCCATATATGATCATTATATGTTGTCATAAATGTTCGTGGTAAGTTTGAGTTAATAAAATCGGTGTAAATTGTTAAGCGATAAATTGGTCGTTTAAAGGGAAATTGGATGGTCCTACGCTGCCAATCGGAATTCCATAGGGTATTAAGGATCATGGTAAACATTTCAGCAATTTTTATTAAAGGGCGAAAAAAAATCGAAAAATTCCAAAATTGAAGACTAATATCCACGCTTTTGGAGAAATTTTAAAGGTTTTCAAGGCCCGGTGTCGAAAAGTCTTGAAATTCTATGGAATACATCTCGGTGTCATATAATTCCGGTTGGAACCATATATGATCATTATATGTTGTCATAAATCTTCGTGGTAGGCTTGAGTTAATGAAATCGGTGCAAATTGTAAACCGGTAAATTCGCCGTTTAAAAGAAAATTGGATGGTTCCACCCAACCAATTGGACTCACAGAGGGTATTTGGGACCATGGTATACATTTCGGCAATTTTTATATCCGGCCGAAAAAAAGTAAAAAAGATCCAAAAATGAAGGATAATATCCACGCTTTTTGTGAAATTTTGGATGTTTTAAGGCCCGGTGTCGAAAAGCATTGAGATTTTAGGGGTTATATCTCGGGGGTCATATAATGCCGTTTGGATCCCCATATGATCATTATATGTTGTCATAAATGTTCTTGGTAAACTTGAGTTAATGAAATCAGTGCAAGTTGTAAACCGGTAAATTTGTTGTTTACAGGCAAATTAGATGGTTTTATGCAGCCAATTGGACTAAGCTACCAGAGGGTATTAGGGACCATGGTAAACATTTCATCAATTTTTATTTCGGGCGAAAAAAAAAAGCTATAAAAATTCCAAAATTGAAGACTTATATCAACGCTTTTTTAGAAATTTTGGAGGTTTAGGGGCCCGGTGTCGAAAAGTATTGAAATTTGAGAGGATACATTTCAGAGTTATATAATGTCGTTTGGAACCATAAATGATTATTGTATGTTGTCATAAATCTTTGTAGTAAGCTTGAGTTAATGAAATCGGTGGAAATTGTAAACCGGTAAATTAGCCATTTAAAAGCAAATTAAATGGTTCTACCCACCCAATTGGACTCTCGGAGGGAATTAGGGACCATAATAAACATTTCGACAATTTTTATTTCTGGGCGAGAAAATGTCCAAAAATTCCAAAATTGAAGGCTAATATTCACGCTTTTTGAGAAATTTCAGATGTTTCGGGGCCCAGTGTCAAAAAGCGTTGAGATTTTTGGATCCATATATGATCATTATATGTTTTCATAAATGTTCGTGGTAAGCTTAAGTTAATGAAATCGATGCAAGTTGTAAACCTGTAAATTGGTCGTTTAAAGGCAAATTGGATGGTTCTACGCAACCAGTAAGACTCCCGGAGGAGATTAGGGACCATGATACACATTTAAGCAGTTTTTATTCTGTGCGGAAACAAAAGTCAAAAAAATTTCAAAATTGAAGACTAATATCCACGCTTTTTGAGAAATTTTGGAGGTTTCGGGGCCGGGTGTTGAAAAGTATTGAAATTTTAAAGGATACATCTCGTGGTCATATAATGCCGTTTGGAACCATAAATGATCGTTATATGTTGTCAAAAATGTTCGTGGCAGACATGAGTTAATGAAATCAGTACAAATTTTAAACTGGTAAATTAGGCGTTTAAAAGCAAATTGTATGGTTCCTTCCACCCAATTGGACTCTCGGAGGGTATTAGGG